GTTTGTTTTCTATATCTATGGATCTGTTTCTGTTTTGTAAGTAAGTTAATTTGTATCTCTTTAATTTTAGATTCCATATATAAGCAATGCTGTGTGATATTTGTCTTTGGCTTACTTCACTTAGTATGATAATCGCTATGTCCATCCATGTTGCTGCAAATGGCATTGTTTCCTTCCTTTAATGGCTGAGTAATATTCCTTTGTGGATATGTACCACATCTTCTTTATCCATTCATCTATCAGTGGGCATTTAGATTTCTTCCATGTCTCGGCTATTGTAAAGAATGCTGCTATGAACATAGGGGTGCATGGATCTTTTCGAATTATAGTTTTGGAGAGGAGTACTTTACGTAAGAGTGGCATGGCCTCTCTGAGTAGGTGTCAGTTGGACTGAGAGACAAAGGCTGAGAAGAAGCCAGCTTGCAAGCTTTGGGTGGAGAGTTCCAGAGACACTGGACAGAAAGTCTGTATGTGCTGAGACAAAACAAGCCTGGCCTGTGTGAGGAGTAGTTGTAATTCCTGTAGAGCTGGGGCATGAGATGAGCAGATGATGTGAGAGGTGGTGTCCTGGGTCACATTAAATGGAAAGTGTGCACGTGTGGACAGTGACATGGGGCAGGGGTAGAATTTCTGCTATTAAAGGACTGTGAGCTTCCCGAAGGCAAAGCTATGTCTCATTTCACTCCAGATTCCAAGCTACTAAGCCACCCGCTATTGAGTAAGTCCTCAGTAAGGTGTGTTGAGTGTCTAAACAAAGAAACACATGAATAAATGAATGAATGAGAGAACAAATGACCAAGACCTTCTGCTTCCGCTGAGGCAGTTTTCCCTCTGAGGTTTCATGCCCCTTCTCCCCTCCCAGCAACAGTTTTGTTTTGTTTTGTTTTGTTTTTTTTCCCTCTTTGTAATAGAGTAAGGCCAGAGCTGTTCTTGTGATTCAATATTTACTGTGTTTCACACACTGCTGTTATCATTTAACGTTTACTGTCTGCTGACTGTGCACTCATCGCCGTAGCAAACAAAGAGCTCAATTGGTTCATGGGCTAATTTAGTCAAGGAAAAGGAGATGTTATAAGAGCAACTGGCATAGTAGAAATTATATAGACTGGAAATCCACTGGGTCCAGCTGGGTACCAGTTCACCAGTGACTAACCCTGCGTGACCCTCTGTTTTCTAATCTGAACACGGGGATGGCAAGCTCCTTTAATGGTGGGGTTGCAGGCACAGGTGGGGAGAGCTCCAGAAGTAAGGGGTGCAGATTTCAGGAAGGATTCCTCCTCTTCCTCTGCCTGCTTCTGTACCAGGCTGTGTCAACCAGATGTGGCCTGCCTTGGGGCTCTCTGCCGGTGCCATTTCAGGGACTCTTAGCACAGTTAAGTGCCTGCCCAGCTGACAGCACACAGATCCTCCTTCTTGAGCTGCTTAATGAGAGACTACAATTTCCAGAGGCAAATCCCAGCGCTGGGTTCCCTGGGCATCTGGTTCAGGCTTTGATGCACAGAGAGAAAAAGGAACAAGGCACTGAGCAAGGCCATTCACCATAATGTCTTCACGTTGCCTTGGCCCAGCTGGCTGGCTGCCAGGGAAGCTTCTGCCACGTCCTCCGATGCTGAGGCTGGGAGGTTGGGGAGAGAAGGTGCTGGGGAGAGACGTGCTTCATAGACTAGGCTCCCAGCCAGTCTCCTCCCCGGGGCCACACAGTGTGCTCTGGGGGCCCTTTGGGGCCTAAGTTCTAGGAGCCGATGTACTCCTGAGATGATCTGCAGCCCTGCTCCACCCTTATTGCAGCAAGGCAAGCCCAAGCAGGTTTTCACTTGGACTAATAGCTTACTATATTCCAGCCACTTTGTCTTTGCCTTGGGATGAGGTGGGAGGCTGTTGGTTTAGAGCAGAGTGGTGACGTGAGCTGACTTATGCTGTGGCAGGATTCTTCTGGCTTCTGGTTGAGCATAGACAGAAGAGGCAAGGGTGGAAGAAAAGAGTCAAGTTAAAGAGCCCTTGCAGGAAGCCAGGCAAGAGAGGAAGGTGTCTTGGCCCAGGTGGCTTGCGGTAGAGGAGCTGAGAAGGGTTGCATTTCGGATGCCTTTTGAAGGATTTCCTGATGGGCTGGATGAAGAGTGGGAGAGAAAGCAGGCAATCAAGAATGTCTCAAGAGCGTCTGAAGGGTGAATTAGATCCTGTCCCTATTAATAATAATAATGATAATAAATGTTAATAGCTAACTTTTTATAGCACTTATTAAGTGCCAGATGCTCTTCCCCTTTTTTTTAAAATTAATTAATTAATTATTTTTGGCTGTGTTGGGTCCTCGTTTCTGTGCGAGGGCTTCCTCTAGTTGCGGCAAGCGGGGGACACTCTTCATCGCGGTGCACGGGCTTCTCACTATCGCGGCCTCTCTTGTTGCGGGGCACAGGCTCCAGACGCGCACGCTCAGTAGTTGGGGCTCACGGGCCCAGTTGCTCCGCGGCATGTGGGATCCTCCCAGACCAGGGCTCAAACCCGTGTCCCCTGCATTGGCAGGCGGATTCTCAACCACTGCGCCACCAGGGAAGCCTCCCTAAGGACTTTTGATTGTGAAATTGAAGGAGTTAGAGTCTACTGGGAATGGACCAATTAAGAATAATTCAGTAGAATTTGGTGAGCAAATATCATCATCTCATCTCAAGGTGACTCTTTCATTCAGCGTCACCAGGTGTGATGGGGGCTGCCGTGGGCATGGGTTGAGCTGACTAGATAAGAAGTTCTAACTCATCTTCCTCATCAGTCGTCCCCAAGCTCATGTCTGTGTGCATGTACATGAGGTCTTTGGGGACTGTAGAAATACTGTCTCTAGGTCAGCTCTATAGCTCCGTCCAGAGGTCCAAGCGTCAGACACTATTAAGGCCACTTGTCTATTGATGGATTGATTGCCTCTGTTTCCTGCAGTAACTCTCACTTGAGGAAAGGTCTGATAATTCACCAACCCCATCACCCTTCCCCTTTATTCACAGGACACACTGATAGGCCTTGTCCTTCAAAATATTTTCAGGGACACATCCCTTTAGCAGACAGCACTAGGAAAAGATTGTATGATCCCACTGCAAGGATGCTTTTGGTACTGTATGCTCTCACTCTTCTTAATAAGAAGTTATATTGGTACAATTACATTGACTGGGAGTACTATTAAAGTGATACTTATTATTTTTAAAGCATTTTCAGAGGGAAAAACAGCATAGAGGCAAGAGTTAGGAAGTTCAAGTCAGGTGACCTTACAATTGACTAGAAAGTCCTAACTTCCCATTGGTTATATGAGAACATTGAAGTAGGAAAGAGGATTTTCAAGTATTTTTAAGCCATGGTAAACCTTTGTGCCAGTACTTGCTTGCTTGAGAGTACAGTATATACAATATGAGGGAAAAAATGGAGTGGCTCTGACTGAAGCAGGACAAATGGCTCAGAACAACCCACTTACCAAGCTCCTTTCCCTTAAAGGATGATCCTGAGGCACCTCAGCAGGGCCAGATGTTCTTTTGGGCCTTCCCGGCTCTGAGGTTCTGCGTTTCTGGCGGATTCTCAACCACTGCGCCACCAGGGAAGCCTCCCTAAGGACTTTTGATTGTGAAATTGAAGGAGTTAGAGTCTACTGGGAATGGACCAATTAAGAATAATTCAGTAGAATTTGGTGAGCAAATATCATCATCTCATCTCAAGGTGACTCTTTCATTCAGCGTCACCAGGTGTGATGGGGGCTGCCGTGGGCATGGGTTGAGCTGACTAGATAAGAAGTTCTAACTCATCTTCCTCATCAGTCGTCCCCAAGCTCATGTCTGTGTGCATGTACATGAGGTCTTTGGGGACTGTAGAAATACTGTCTCTAGGTCAGCTCTATAGCTCCGTCCAGAGGTCCAAGCGTCAGACACTATTAAGGCCACTTGTCTATTGATGGATTGATTGCCTCTGTTTCCTGCAGTAACTCTCACTTGAGGAAAGGTCTGATAATTCACCAACCCCATCACCCTTCCCCTTTATTCACAGGACACACTGATAGGCCTTGTCCTTCAAAATATTTTCAGGGACACATCCCTTTAGCAGACAGCACTAGGAAAAGATTGTATGATCCCACTGCAAGGATGCTTTTGGTACTGTATGCTCTCACTCTTCTTAATAAGAAGTTATATTGGTACAATTACATTGACTGGGAGTACTATTAAAGTGATACTTATTATTTTTAAAGCATTTTCAGAGGGAAAAACAGCATAGAGGCAAGAGTTAGGAAGTTCAAGTCAGGTGACCTTACAATTGACTAGAAAGTCCTAACTTCCCATTGGTTATATGAGAACATTGAAGTAGGAAAGAGGATTTTCAAGTATTTTTAAGCCATGGTAAACCTTTGTGCCAGTACTTGCTTGCTTGAGAGTACAGTATATACAATATGAGGGAAAAAATGGAGTGGCTCTGACTGAAGCAGGACAAATGGCTCAGAACAACCCACTTACCAAGCTCCTTTCCCTTAAAGGATGATCCTGAGGCACCTCAGCAGGGCCAGATGTTCTTTTGGGCCTTCCCGGCTCTGAGGTTCTGCGTTTCTGCCATGGGCATTTCCACCTCAGCTTCTGAAGAGTTCACACTCTGAACTCCCACTCTTCAGAGATGTCCTTCCTTCACCTTCTTATAGTTCTGTGGCCTCACAAGAACGTAAGCACGTTCACCTCTTGCTTAGTTTGCCTCCACTGTTGGAGTAGAATGAATTACCTTATCATGCATGCTGGTATCAAAAGGGCACCAGGAAGACCTGGGTTCAAATCCTGCCTCTGCCACTCTGTTGCTTGGGGATAACCTTGGCTACAGTTGAGTCATCTGTAAATGGAAGTGATGATCTCTGACTCAGATTCCATGTGGGGAGAGGCATCCTGGCACAGGTAGGTGCCTTCAGAGCTCCTGAACACATGAGGCCCCTCTCCTCTCCGGAGCGCCGAGGCCAGGCCTGCCGCTCACCCAGCACCTTGGGTCTTGTCTTGCAGAGATGTCAGGCACGGCAGCGGACATCTCGCTGGTGCACTGGAGACAGCAGTGGCTGGAGAACGGCACCTTGTACTTCCACGTCTCCATGAGCAGCTCTGGGCAGCTGGCCCGGGCCACCGCCCCCACCCTCCAGGAGCCCTCAGAGATTGTAAAGGAGCAGATGCACATCCTCCACATTTCTGTGATGGTGAGTGAGTGGGAATGCAGTGGGGGCTTTGGGGGGGTGGGTAAAGGGAAGGGCGAGTGGAGAGACTGTGGCAGGAGGCAGGGGATGGCCAGCAGGTGGAGGGAAGGAGCTGGCCAAGTGCGAGAGGTTAGAATGATAAACAGGAGGTCGGATGGATCCCACGGTATCACTTGGACTGATGCATACTTGTCCATCATCTGTCAGCTGTGACAAGCTAATTGTGCTTCAGAGGAGAAAAGAAAGGGTCTCCAACTCCTTGGCCTTTTGGCCGACATCTCTGGGAATAGCTGTTTAACATCTGTCACGTGCTTGACCTGCTTTGCCGAGAGCTGAGATTCAGCGCTCCACAACCGGCCGTTCCAAGAATGACTGAACAAACAAAACTGGAATGGGGCTGCCCTTCCCCAAGTGCCCTTGATGTGCCAGGTGCTTTAACTCTCACAACACCCCCTGCAGTGTAGATCGTGCATGGTGGTCCCTGGAGCTGGACTGGGCATAGCCGGGGCTGTCACACACCAAAGCCCCCTCCATTACCCTCACTTTATAGCTGTGAATACTGAGTCAGAGGGGTAGAGAAACTTATGCGAGGTCACATGGCTAGGAAGAGATGGAGCTGCTCTTGGGTATTTGAACCCATGTGTATCTGGCTACAAAAACTGAACTATGTCCTCTATTCTCTCTCTGTCAATGCAAGAATTTTTTGACTATCCACCATGTGTGAAGCACCAGGCACATTCGTGGACATGATTTCATTGCGTTCCCACCACGAAGTCAGGCATGTCACTTCCATGTTAGACATGAAGTTATGGACACATAGAGATCTGTTGTCTGTTGGCCCCAGGGTCTGGAACACTCTGAGGCTGCTGCCTCCCCAGAAAAGCATGCTAGGACAGAAATCGCCTGAATGGTAAAGTGTATGTAGATTCACATTAATGATGTGTTAGAAAAGCTGTAATTAATGGCTTTGCACTGTAGACAGAAAAAAATGCAATGTGCAGAATGTACGGGGTCTAACTGGCTCAAGAAGAGATCAGGTAATAGCTACAGCTGACATCCCGCTAGCGCTTTCACTCCCGAAGCCGTTCTTAGGTTATTTTCCCCTTTTTAGCTTTAGCACAGCTCTGCCAGATGCAAGAGGGTAGGAAAAGTTATTCCCAACCTATGTGTGAGGAAGGTAGGGCTCAGAGAGGTAGAGTGATTGACCTAAGGCCACTCAGCAAAATAGGGCTATAACCCAGCCCTTCACTTTTTCCTTCCATTCAGTAGTCAACAGTACCAAGAGCCTACAATGGAGCAGATCTTGCCTTTTGGCCTCTGTTCTGGTCCCTCTTCAACCTGCACTGTGCATTAGACATTCTCATTAGGGCTGAGTAAGTGCTTGGAAATTTTCTCTTTTTTGGAAAAACACACACATACCCCAGCCAGACAGCGACGTTAAATTTGGACCTAACGCATGCTCATCACGTGGAAGAACAAATCAAGGCCTTTGTGTTATTCATGGAATGAGTGTGATAGACTTTTCCCATTTTTATATTTAGCGAGTGATGCAGCCACACGCCAAGCCAAGTGGATGCCTGCGTGCTAAGTTTGGGTTGCAAGTTTGTAAGCACCCTCTCAGGGTACTTGCTGAGTTCCTCAAGGGGCCCGGGGCACCAGCTGATGGGCATGACGGCTCTTCTTTTAGTCTGAGTGAGACTCGGTTTGAACTAATATTTATTAAGCATTTTCTCTTCGGCATGGCGTTTACTCACCTACCTCCTTTCCATAACCCAGTGACCTAGACAGTATTATCTCAATGATCAGTGAGTCCTGCATGGGCTTTCTCTGCTTCCATGCCCAGTGTTAGTGTTAGTTAAATCAGACCTCTCCCCAAAGACTGAAGGTGTTTCTCACTTTTTTCTGCTCATTGAGTTTAGCTTGGAAAGAAGAACTCACTAAGACCCAGATGTCGCTCCAATTCCCTGTAATTCAGGATGTGGCTGGTGGAGTAGGTGGTGTGGAGGTTGCCAGTCTCTAGACCCTCCCTGCCCGCAAGCTGGAGTGGCCCAAGGCTACCACCTTGTGGTCCCACCCATTCTTTCCCCCTTCAGTGCTCCCAAATCTTGATCTTTCCTGTCCTCACCTTACCCTCAGCAGACAGTCCTGTCCAGGAAACATTGGTCCCCTTTGCATCCATTGATGGCAGCCCAGCCTCTCAGAGGTGGGACATGCCTCAGAGAACCCTGTCCTCTACATAGAGGTAGGATGACATGGTTATAAGCATAGACACCTGAGCCCGAGTGCCTGGGTGCAAAGTTTCACTCTGCCACTTAGCACTCTGGGTGATGTTGGGCAAAGTATTTAACCCATCTATGCCATGTTTTGTCATCTATAAAAATGAGGATTATACTAATACTTACTGTGTCAGAGCATTTGTATCAGGGGAGCTTGGCATACAGGGGCATTGGCTTTTATTCTTAGGCACACTTTTATTATGGAGACGTGCTGATGTATTATACCCATTCATTTCACAGATGGATAAACTGAGGTCCAAATACAGACTAGGACTTGTCCAGGACCCCCAGCCAGACAGTGGGGCTTGGCCTGGAGGACAGACCTCTCCGTGGCTCAGACTCTGTCCTTGCCGTTCTGGCCACAGATAATTCAGCAAGAACAAAAAGAGCGTTTGGTTCTCCCCACTCCCGCCTTAACAATCTTTTTAATTTTTAAGACAAATCTTGAATCTTTTAGATTTTTAAATCCCAAACATTTAAAATGGCATTCATGGTGGCTGGGACCTGCCTTCCCATTTCACAGATGAAAACTCTGAGATTCAGTGAGTTTAACTGATTTGCCTAAGGCTGCGTGGCTAACAAGAAAGCACTTCTGGGCCCAGGCTTTTCCAAGATTCCAAACTCATGTCACGGGGCTGCTCAGGACACCGTGACTCTCCCTCTGTCAAACTTTGCATTGTTATCATCTTCAGTGAAGATCTGAGATGGTTTTGTGAGAAGACCAAATCATCCAGTCAAATCTCAAAGAAACCTGGAGGTCAGAGTCAATGTTTTCCATCTGCTTTCCTCAGTATAAATATCCTGCCCACCCATGCAGGGCAACAAGTTCCAGCTCAGTCACTGGAACCTGCTACAATCCACGCCTACTGGAGTGGAACCAGCATATGCCCTTTTGGGCTTTTTAAGCCCTGAGTTGAGCATCTACTTTATCCCAGAAGGTTGCATCCTCTGACTATTAATATCCCAAGAGTCAGGCAACAAAGAGGTACTCGGTGAAACCCTGGGCAGAGGTAGAAAGTAGAGGGTCATTCATCTAGTCTGCAGCCCCAACTTCAGCTACTCAGAGCAGTCCCATGCCTGCCTCAGCCATGCAGGGGGCACAGTGGATGCAGAGAACAGAGCAGAGGTTCGGAAGGCATGGTCTTTCTTGCTTCCTGCTTCCTGATGGTTTTACTCTTGGGAGTTCCATCACCTCTTTGAGTCTCAGTTTACCTATGAAACAACTGATCATACCAGTCTCACAGGGTTATTGAGAAGAGTGGAAGAAATATATAAATCGTACCTAATCTCTAGTCTGGCACATTGTGGGTATACAATAAAGGTGGCTATTACTACTACCGGCGCAGCAATTTTAAAGGACTCTAATGTAGGAGTAAGGAGACATCGGATTGAGTCTGCTTTTTGCTGCTGTCTTGCTATCTGATCTAGAGAAATATTCACAATACCTGACATTCACTGAGTATTCACTACATTCCAGCTAGTGTTCCAAATTTTGTTTTACATGCATTATTAAATTTAATCCTTATAACAGATCTTAAGGTGGATACTCTTGTTATGTTTGTTTCATAGATGTGGAACCTCAGATGTTAATAATATCAATAGCTATTGATGTGAGTTGGTCAAGGTTAAATGGTAAAACCAATATTTAGTTCTATAGAGGCAGACTCCAGATCCTCTTGCCCTTAATCTGTAGAGCAGACCATCATTTCTCTTCTCCCTGAATTAGTTGCTAAGGCTAATTATAACATCTTAAATTATAAGATGTTATGGACAAATTAATACAAAGACTCCCACCTTATGTGGAATCTGTGGGTGTGTTAAGGGGGGTTATGACTTGGGAGTCAACTCCAAGGTTAAACAGTATCTCTGTTGCTGGCTTTATGTCCTTGGCCAAATCAACCTCATCATTCGTAAAATACGAATAATATTTCCTAATTCTCAGATTTGTTTCTAAGTACTGAATGAGGTCACACACGCGTAATAAAAACAATGGCTACCCTCACTGAGGACTTTCTGAATGCCAGGCACAGTCTAAGTGTGGTACATGCAGCATTCCATTTAATTGTTCTGGTTCCTCTATAAGATAGATACTGTTTCTGTCCCTCATTTACAGATGAGGAACCTGGGAGTTAGTGATATTTTATAACCTGCTGAAGTTCACATCACCAATGAGTACCAAAGCTGAGATTCCAACTCTAGTCTGCACAAATTAATAAGAATCTTTGCTCTTGGGCATGATTCTGTGTGGTGCAGTGCCTGAAATTCAGTAAATGCTCACAAAGCGGTAGCTGTCATTAAAATGTTAGCTGTAGTGACAACAGTGAAGAATATTGTTGCCACAATGTTTTGAGCAAAGGGATGAAAGGAAATGTTTGATTTGATGAGTCAGAAGAGAAGACCTTTGAGGACATGTTTCTTTCAAAGGGAGTATCCCACAGAAAATGCCACAGATTTGTACTGGTGGGCCCCAGTGAGGAGGGCTTACAAAGGACCAAGCTTCCAAAGTGTTTGAGCTCTCCAGAAATGGAGGGGACTGAGTCAGAGGGTAGTGAGGTCCTTGTCTTTGGGGGTATGCGAGCAAAGGCTAGAAGCCGTATTTGTCAGGACTTTGAGAGGAATAATAGTTAAACTAGGTGACTATTGTAGTTCCTTCAAACTTGAAGATCTATGATTCTGTGGCATAATATATAGAAAAACACTTTGAGGATTATAAACTGCCCCATAAAT